CCACCACCGTTCCCCTTCCTCCTCTTCGTCCTCCACCCAGCTCTCCCCTTCTCCCCTTCCTCATTCTCCACCAGCTTCTCTCCTCCTCCTTCTCCACCAACTTCTCCCTTCTCCCCCTCTCTCTTCCACACAGCCTCTCTTCTCCCCTCATTCTTACCCTTCCTCACTTCTCACACCAGCCTTATCCCCTCCTCCTTACTCCACCAGCATTCCCCTTCCTCCTCCACCACCTTCCTCTTCTGCCCTTCTCCCCACTAGTTCTCCTTTCTCCCCTTCCTCATTCTCCACTCAGCTTTCTCCACCCTCCTCCACCAGCTTCTCCATCTCCCCTTCCTTCATACTTCACTAGCTTCTCCCTACTCCACCTACTAGTACTACCTAAACTTCCTCCTCGCCTCCTGCCCTCCCTTCCTCCGCCCTACACTGCTCCTTCGTACCCTTGTACCAGAACTAACGGAAGGCTGAACGATGTTCCACTGATACGCCCAGGAAAACTGCCGATAGACCGCGTAGCGCCATCTGGCGGTGGCGTTTGCAAGTTAATTTACGACGCTAAACCTGATTTTGGCGTTTACCGTGACAGTGTTCTATTGTCTCTCGTGTATGCGCAGAAGAAACTCGGAAACTCAGAAACTCGAAAACTCGGAAACTCAGAAACTCGAAAACTCGGAAACTCAAAAAGTCGGATGTCGTTTCAGGTCTTACAGGTCATTCAGGTCGTCAGGTTCAGGTCAGGTTCAGGTTCAGGTTTAGGTCATTCAGGTCATTCAGGTCATTCAGGGTTTCAGGTCGTTTCAGGTCATACAGGTTACCCTAGCACACGAGCGCTCGCTTTATCCAAGATGGCGGCCCCCATGGCGGCTTCCTCAGCAGATTTTATTCGCTAGATTTTAATGTCTTCGAACAAGTACTATTAAACAAATTAGCAGACGAAATTGATATGATTTGAATTCAGAAGTGAATGATTGAATGAAAAATGAAATAAAGTTGAAATAGATTGAAATTGAAGTCAGAAATGTTAGATTCGCATTCGCCAACTCACCCGTCGCCATCTTGAAAACAACTCGCGCGCTGCGCGAACAGTCTCGGAAGCATGATCGCGCGCGCTCGCGAGCGCTCCCCCAACCCTCCCGCGCAGTGTCGTTCAGAAGGTTCGCGCTGTTGAACACGCCTCATGTGTCTTTCCGCTTCCTTTGTTATATATCGTGTTTGTATCCGAGGAGCAAGTGTCAAGTGACGCGCCATTTCAAATGGCAGTGGTGTCCTGATTTACACGTAACTTCATAACCTCGTGAAGATTTAATCTTCAGTCCTAGGGCAAGGACCTATAAGGCTATATAATGGCTATATCGACGGCGGAGACAGACGAAGTTGGGTTCAAGGATGGAGAGCATGGCCAGATTGTACTGTAGACAGAGCAACACCGCGGATCGCAGTAGAAAAGGCGTAACGTAAGTTTACTGTTGCTAATCAGCTATATTTCTATTTCTATTTTTCAGTGCCAATCTGCTAAAACTTAGTATACCTAAAAGGTAGTGTCTAAACGACCGGACCCGGTTTCGGAGGCCTGAAAACTAAACAACCGGCTCTCTTCTCTGATTGGTCAGTTTCCGAACATAACAGGACAAATATATAATAGGACAATTTTTAATGCAAAACATAAAGAAATATATTTAATTCCGAACATAACAAAAGTTACAGAACAAATAAATGAATACGGAACAAATAAATGCAGAAACAAATAAAATACAAAGAAATACAGAAAGCAGAGGAAAATAAAAACATTTTACTAGGTTCGAACACGGTCCCTTACTATCACGAAGCGAAAGCTCTAATGTTGAGCCACTGAAACCAACTTGTAAGTGAGGGATATAGACCCTAACCCTAGAGCTAACCCTAATTCTAAAATAAAATAAAATTAGCCAAAAATAATAAAAAATAAAATAGTGACAAAATTAGCCAATCAGAGAAGAGTTGTTTAGTTTTCAGGATACCGAAACCGGATCCGGTTGTTTAGACACTTCCAAACTAAAAGGCTAACTAGGCCTACCTGGCTTTACCCCAAGCTAGGTCACACCCTATGGATGGCCCGTCGTATAATACTAGTCAAGTATGACCGAGTCGACGTACAGTATAGAAATATAAATATAAATATCGTTTATATACCCCGTACAGACTACGAATTTTCGCACGCGTCTAACGCGCACTATCTAAAGCCTGGCGCACATTGCCGAACATTTTCCCGAACAAATGTTCGTCCGAACAAATCTTTTTGTCTGGCAATGGAGTTTCCATGGCCCCTACGTTGCGCAAACCTATGGGCGCGCCCCAACCCCTTTTGGGAAACTCCCCCCCGCCCATTTCAATCGTTGCCCGCCACGTTTAAATTACCTCCGCCCATTACAATCGCACCACATAAAAGTTGGACAGCGCGGGAATCGAATCGTCAAGAATTCCATTTCACCAGGCCCCCCGGACGCGTGTATTTTTTTACCCCATACCACGTCAATGCTCGTAAACGCGTACACTACGCATCGCTGC